ATACTTGCTGTACCCTGATGCTGTTGATTCAATTTCTAGAAATCATATGAATTTGAGTGACGCTAGCAATTTATCCATTTGCTGGTGCCCGATACAGGCGTTACGTTTATTATGTGGAACAATGTTCAAGATTTCATGATTTTTATTCATAGTGTACATTCGTAAGCGAAAAATTTACTTGTTCCGAAATTCGTGTCTTGAGGTAGACGAATTTCGGAATGGATTTTTTCCCGTGATTCAATTGTCTTAAGCATTTCTTAAAGGTTTTAATTAATCAGAAATTCCTGGCAAATCATTCTTTGATCTCCCGTGGTATTTGTTTACAGAATTCCCTTGGAATTCTTCTTCATCTTCGCATTTCAAGCTTATTGCATATCGCATATTAACTTATTGCGTGCTCTCAACTTAGTGTTCTAGATGCACTTCCCTAGTTATTAATTGAGAGCTTTCGATGCCTGTACCATTTTTGCATTGATGTAATTGTGTGGCAAGTCCAATCATACTTCTATGCCCAGGGAAGTCGAGAATTGAACCCAGCCACCTCCAGCATGGTCTTGCTTTGTAGCTGCGCCTTTACCGACTGAGCTAAGGGAGGCCCAGAAACGGTTATGTGCTCAAGTTATTAACGAAAGAGAAAGCCGACGAAGAGAATCGATCAATGTTACTTAGGACCTAATGCAATGTTCAGCTATAGGTTCCTGTTTAGGATGTCAAACATAAAAAAAACTGCAGGAGTCCTTTTTGATTCGGTCGTATGTAACATATTTGTCAATTAGAGAAACGAGGTGCTTTGTTTTGGTCAACAAAAAATTGTTTCTATTTTCGATGCGATAGATTTTCAATTTTGATGCGAAAATGAAACAGAAATGAGATAGCGGGCCTAAATTTTACCTTTAGGAAGAGTAAGCAGAGTATTGTCTGGTAGCATTAAAATGTCATTTTTTTACATTTGTTACATACGACCTATTCACAAAATGCACTCCAGAACTGTCAGTTGATTGACAGCTCTCTCGCGATTGCACTTACACATAGACACTCTCTACAATACGAGATAGAATGGATGCGTGCTTTTATAGTTTATACCTCTATAAGGCACCCGCACCAATAGCGAATCGAGGATAAGCATTTAATCCAGATTTCCAAAAATCCGGATTAAATCGCGTACTATCCTCGATGGAGCTTACCGCTATTAGAGTTACCTCTATGGCCTCTTAGCTCTATGGTAGTGTTGTCATGTGGTACCAGAATTGCCAGATATACCGATTTATCGGTATTTATACCGATTTCTAAACTAGATACCGATATACAGATAAGTTTCCTCAGAATACCAATATTTAAAATTTTATACCGATTTATACTGGGGTGGGACGTGCTGTCAAATCAGCCTACTGATCATTTTTGCATGAAATTGGTTCCAAACGTAAACAAACCCTGTAGGTTTCTTATGGCTTGTTTACGTTTTATACCAGTTATGCGAAGTAAGGCGACGATTGTTCGTATTTGACAGCCACTTCCCCCCCTTGGATTTATACCGTTTTTTCTAAATAATCAAAATTATTATTGCCTGCCTGCGCTTGAATTCCGGAGAAAATTCTTGTGAGAGACTTGTATCTTTATGAATACCTCATATTGTTCGAGTCTTCCAAATTCTAAACAATCATCTTTAAAGATGTCTTATGCTTGATACTCTTTCGACTAATGTTTGTTCCTCACCGTTTTTGGCTACCCATCAATCAAGAAATAGTCAATGGCTCTTTCCGGTAGTTCCTAGCGAATCGAGAAATATATTTTAAACATTATTTAACTTCCGGAAGTTTTTATTAATTTTTAAACTTCCTGAAGCTTCATCCAACTTTGCGTGGAATTTTCTTCCACCTTACCTTGGAAGCTTCTTCAGCCTTCGCTCGAATGATTCTTTCATTTTCTCCCACCAGTTTTTTTTTTAACTTTCCCGGAGCTTCAAGGATGCTATCAGATTTTTATTGCGGATCCACGCTAGCTGCAGGCACATTTAAGAAGTTCTGAAACTTCAAAAAAGTCCAGGCTTTTGTGTAAGTTTTGATAAATTAAAGACATTTTCATTAACTTCTGTTAAAATTCAAAAACCCGGAAATTTTAGAAAAGTCCCGTGAACTCCAGTGAACTTAAGGAAACATCATAAATATTTTGGAAACTTTACAAGTCCAAAGAACTTCAGGGAAATTTAATGGTTTTCAGGAACTTTAGTGAAGCTCAGAGAACATCAGGACAGATCAATTAATTTCATTGAAGTTGCTGAAATTATAAAGGAATTCCGAGAAACTCAGGCAATTTCCGAAAACTTCAGCAATGTCCATGCAAATTTAGAAATCGTAAGGGAAGTTACATGAACATTAGATCATTGTAAGAACATTTTATGGGAAGTTCTTTGCTTTTTAATGGCAGTGTCGATAACTTTTAAAAATTAAAAAATCGGGAAGATCAGAGAACTTCAATGCTGATGTTACAATAAATTCAAGAAAATTGTGAGAGCACTTAAGAGTTTCGTAATCTTCAAGAAAGTCCAGAGACCTTCTAAGATGATTAGATATATTCCGGTAGTCTTATTATAATCAGGGAAGTTCCGAGTGCTTCGAGGATGACCATAGAACTCCAAAACAGCCCCTAATTTCCGGAAAATTTCAAGAATTTTTAAGGAATTTCGAGGAATTATGGAATATTCCTAAGTGCATTTGTTTAATGTTCCGAAAACTTCAGGGAAATTTCGGAGTCTTCAGGGATGTTTTTTGAACATCAGGAATGTGTTCTAGATCATTAGAACATCCCCCAGGAATCTCTTTCTTCTGGAATTATGTCCTTGTTTCTTTCGACTATTCCGTAAGCGCTTTGGCTTCCGACTTTCTTCAGATGTTTTTTTTCTAATCTACCTTAGGCAGTTTCTGCCAGCGTCTCCAGAAAGTTTATTTTGTCTTCTCAAGGAAGTTCTATTAATTCTCCAAAAAATTTCTTTCGTCTTCTTCTGGAAGTTTGACCATAAGCCAAAGATTTTTTGTTCGCCTTCTATTGGAAGACTGTTTTCCCTGGAAATGGCTACTTCTGGAAATTTACTTCCGGTTTCCGGAACTTTTCTGGCTTCCTTTGGATGTGACATCCGATTTTTTTTTCCGATAGTTTATTTAAATTTTCGCCGCAAGTTTCACAATTCGTGTCTTGGAAGTTTCCCGGATGTTTTTCCAGCTTTTCTCGAACCTCATCCAGGAGAGCTTCTTTCGTCTTTCTCTTGATGTTTTTTCAGCTCCATTCAGAAGCTAATTCAAACATTCCCCGGAGTTTTCTCTTCCGGAATTTTTCGATCATAGTTCAAAAGCTAAAATTTTGCTTTGATCAACGGCTTTCTCAGTCTTAAAACACTGCAACGACTATTTCGGCCATAGGTTGTGGCTTTTTTCAAGGGAAAATATTGTTTGTCGTTATTGTCAATAGCTTAGTCGTGGTTGTGGCTGATTTTCTATATTTTGGTGTCATTTAATGAAATTTAATTGAAAAAAAAACACTACTTGGTCATAATTTTGATCACCACTTGAAGACAACGATAATTTAAAAAATTAAAGTGTGTTTTCAGACTGAGAAAGCCGTCAAACAAAGCAATTCCCCTCAAATCCCATCGTTAAAATTTTCACTTTCAAAAAGGGCAAAAATATAAAAATTAATTAATAGTAAATACCGATAAATACCGATTTTCAATACCTTTGATACCGATAAGATTTAAAACAATCTGGCATCGCTGTGTGGTACACTGAAAAATTGCAATAGCAGGTTCGTCACCAAAGTTTTCAAGCCGCTCCGTATGTCACTTCGTTTGTGTTAGAACAAACTCACTCCACCCCATAAGCTGTCTACGTAGTCAAAAATCAGGAACGGGAACAAACATGTTTTAAGCAGGAATTAACGAGGGAGGTCCTCTTTCTGTCACCTTTGAGTCCCACGCCCCACTAACCAAGTGCAGAAGTGGTGGTGAGGATATTTTGTCGGTCTTGCTTAAGACTTTTTCTTAAACATTTTGGCATCCCTGAGTACGACAATGGGGTACGCTTATAGATGTACTTGGTACCAATGGGCTAGTCAAGTAATGAGCCAATTTAAAATCGTTAATACATTAAGGGGAGGTTTACTTGGATTTGGCTGAAAAACAGTTGAACATTGGATTTTTTTTTCAGGAGAATGAAAAGACATACGAACTTCCGGTTTCGATAATTATATTTGTCCACTATTCCTGAATACTTGGAAATTTTTTGAAGGTAAAAAAACAAAATGGCGGCTCAAAATGGCGGCTCAAAATGGCGGCTCGAGTGGAGGAGTGTCAGTCAGGTTTTGCTGCAGAACTTCGAGTGCACACCCTCTGGTGGTGAACTGAAATGAAAATTAAAGTTGATAATATTCCCTATGGCTTATACCTAACTAGAACGAAATCCGACAAAAATTGACCAAATTATGGACATTTGAAAATTTAGTGCTTTTTTTACCCCTTTTTTCTCACTTTGACCTTGCTTAAAAAATAGTAACTTACAATTTAATAGTAAAAATAGTATCCTTCAAAGCGCAATTTTCCGATTGTAAATCGGATCATTTGTTCAAGCCCTATGCTCTAAGTTGTTATAAAAAATATGGTTTCGAGAAAAACGCGTTTAAAGTTTTTGTAGCGTCCCTCAGCGCGCATGACAAAGGTTCACTCAAAACGCCATAACTCGCTAAATATGTTTCGGATCGTAAAATCCTTTTGGCCACATATTCTACACACTTGTAGCTTTCATTTTATGCAAAAAAAAATCAATTTTTTTTTTGAAAAAATCCAAGTAAACCTCCCCTTAAGCTGTCAAATTTGTAACAAAGCACTTAGGAGTAAAGACGCATTCACATTACGGTTTTACACAAGTTTCTTGAACACATAAGCCTAAGACTGAACGTCAAAGACAGCTGTGTCATTTGCCATACTGACCGCGTGTCAACCTCCGATCTTCTAGCCACGCCCTCACATTCACCGAGGAAGCCACCTCGCTGGCCAAAGAAGTTGGCGTCGAGCTGAAGGGATACGAGTTCACCGCTCGCAAGGAGGATCTCCGCCGTCCACGGATCGTTCGCGTAGGCCTAATCCAAAACTCGGTCGACATTCCAACCACCGCTCCGATCCACGTCCAGCGGGATGCACTGCATGAAAAGGTTTCGAACATCCTGCGGGTTGCGTCCACTGCCGGCGTCAATGTGATCTGCTTCCAGGAGGCTTGGAGTGAGATAACGGTTTTATTTTTAGTTTTAAAGAATGTTTGGATGATCATGCTTTTTATTCCAGCGATGCCATTTGCCTTCTGCACCCGCGAGAAGTTCCCCTGGTGTGAGTTTGCCGAAGATGCCGAAAATGGTCCCACGACTAAGCTTATGAAGGAACTGGCCAAGCAGTACAATATGGTAATCATCTCGCCGATCCTGGAGCGTGATTCAAATCACAACGAAACCCTATGGAATACTGCCGTCGTAATCTCGAACAACGGAAATTACATGGGCAAGCACCGCAAGAATCACATTCCTCGAGTGGGCGACTTCAACGAGTCGACCTACTACTACGAGGGAGATACCGGCCATCCGGTGTTCGAAACGCAGTTTGGTCGCATCGCTATCAACATCTGCTACGGGCGCCACCATCCGCAGAATTGGATGATGTTCGGACTGAACGGCGCGGAAATTGTGTTCAATCCATCGGCTACTGTAAGTGATGGTATTTTCTCTTATTCTAATAATTGTAACGAAGCTTCTGTTTTCATCCTAGATCGGTGCCCTCAGTGAACCGCTCTGGAGCATCGAGGCCCGCAACGCTGCCATTGCCAACAGCTACTTCACGGTGGCGATCAACCGCGTCGGAACGGAAGTGTTCCCGAACGAGTTCACCTCCGCCAATGGAAAACCGGCTCACAAGGACTTTGGGCCGTTCTACGGATCGTCTTACATTGCTGCCCCGGATGGAACCCGGACGCCGGCCCTGTCCCGGGACAAGGACGGCCTTCTGATCGCCGAGATGGACCTAAACCTCTGCCGGCAGGTCAAGGATTTCTGGGGCTTCCAGATGACCCAGCGGCTGCCGTTGTACGCGGAAAGCTTGGCCAAGGTCATCCGGGCGGACTACAAACCGCATGTCATTAGGGAAAGTTAGAGGAATTGGTATACTGTTTTTCTTTTTTTGTATGTCAAAGAATGTTTATATTTCAATGAACTGCTTCAATGTATAATAATGTAGCTTTTTCTTCTCGGTTGGTGTAAAATTTACAGATTTTTCTCCTGTTTTTTTTTTGTTCTACGCGTAGCCGAAAAAAATAATTAAATTTTGTCACGTCGTCTGATTCTTGTCGTTTTAATTTTCTTTATTTGGTTCTCTAAAACTAATCAACAAACAACATCTTTTTTATCATTTTTGTTTTGGTTTTTTAAAGTTTACGGTGATCTTCTGTTATAAGTTTTAAACGTTTGGGATCATATCTCTAAATTCTGGCAATCGTTTGGTTGGTTTTGTTTCGTGGCTTCAGGTTTATCATTTTTTTTTTGTTTTTGTTGTGTTTCTACTGTGCTTCAGAGTATACGAATGTAGCAGCATACACTGAAAAAGGTAAGAGTTTTCATTCAATTCTGAAAGCGGAGAGAACATCGATAGGAGTTGATGAAGCTGTAATTACGTTTTACTATCAAATCAAAATATATCTATGTATATATTCTCGGTAATAGTCGGTTCGCGTACTTTTTTCCATGTTCACTTTACGTTTTTCTTTGTGAGTGTGTGTGTGTACAGGATTTCTTCCATAATATTGTCACTTACATGTGTGCCTTATTACTCGCATTAATTCCTTCCATGCGTCTATTTCAGCTATTGACTGGCCTAATTCAATCCTGCTAACATTCCGTCCCTTGTTTTTGTTTTATTTTTAGAATGAAATGCGAATTGTAGAGTTTTCCATTGTGTTAATTAGTGCTCTACCAGGATAGTCGACTTGTAACAATTATGTTTCAACTAATGAAAGTTTTGTTATGCATCAGAGAAAAATACTATTTCTGTATGTTTGTTTCATTTTATAGCATAAGTTGCTTGATTTGTTTCTAGTGAGTGGTATATACTAACGCTTGAGACAATGTACAGTTCCATATTCTCTCACTCTCTCTCTTTCTCTGTTTCCAAATGTTGTAAGACGCTTGAGATTTTTAAATCTTTCGGAAAATATACAGCTCTGTTCCTGCGAGCAGGGTTGTTTATTCATTTGTAAAGGAGTTGTGTTGTTAATCTTTTTTGTTACATCATTAGGTTTTGTTCTAGTAGTCGTAAGTACAGTAAATTTACAGTGATTATCGATTGAAGTTCTAACGATGGGTATGTATATATCTAATTTGGAGGCAAGCAGTTTGCTGTCGGTTTTCTGTTTGTAAAATTTGTTTGTTCAGGTATGAATTTTCTACGATAGTTGACGCCAGATGTTGAAAGTTTTCTTGGAACGCGACCGGTTTTTGTGGAGATGAGTGCGTATCAACTGGGGCTAAATCATGCATTTTTAGGGATCGGAACTAGCGTAGGGCAGGTGCCATAACTAATCCATATCCATACAATATTCATGCGTTACCCATGCATATGATTTGAATCAACATAATACATAATTGGCGGTTGTAATGAATACTCTGGGCGGACAGGTTACATCAGTGGAAGTGACCAAAATCTTTAATTCATTCCAAAATGAATACCACAGTATATAAAACCACAATATTCAAAAACACATCTAGAAGTGGTTCGAGCCCTTTTAAGGAAATTGCCTGAACTTAGATTGGACTAGATGTGAGTCAGCAACTGGCTTTTCTACCGGTAATTTCGGCACTTTCATCCATTTTAACCCTTTTAAGTTTTTAATAATTTTTAAATTTTATTATAATACAAAAATACTGAAATTACCGGTACCAGACGCTAAATGTGCAGCGGGCCGTCCCCTCAATGAAAACTTCAATGGCCCTGTAGAACTTCAAGATTTGAACTTCAAGCACTTTGCTTAGATATTTTTTTCTGGTACAGCTTATGATACACATGATGTGATGAGCTCCTGCAAAACGCTAAGGATTCGTGTGATAAATCAGGAAGTCGTACAATTGGTGTTGACGACGACTCTGTAGTTCTTTACTCCTATGTTAAAATCCATAAGCAAACGTCAGATTGTGCGTGAAACAAGACGGACTTCAAACTATCCTTTCATTCCATCGAAAATTCCATAATATACTGTCAATATTTGCTCGAAGAGACGATTTTCAACGCCAGCATATTGTGGAGAATCAATAGCGTGCACAGGAATCTTGGTAAGAAGGGGCATTTTTTTCTATGGTAATATGGGGATGAGAAGTACTCCAAAGTACTTGGTGGATGGTGCTGGCCACCCCCCACTATTCCCCTACTGTTCAATTAAGCTAATTTTATTTATGTTTTGCTCCGGTGGTGGTTCATCTTCTTCAATGCAAATTGCTTTCAGACAGCCAATGGAAAGCTCTTATATGCTGTTGTAGTTACACTTTACTATTACCGTTGCAATTACGTTAAACTTGGTCATTTTCAGCGAAAATTGTAGTTCTTTTTTTTTTTCAAATTTTGATCTAAAGGCTAAGGCTAATAGGATTATTAAAAAGGTTTAAAAAATATGTAACGATTGGAACAAAACTATTTTGACAAGCGAGTACAGGATTGTCAACGGAATGACGATTGGTGCGCAGGATTGAGCATGTCAAGCCTGTCCCTAAGTACCGCCAGTTGGGGTGACAGAAAATGATGCCGAGCATTCAACATGTTTTCAGGGTTGCATCCACTCCTTGCTATAAAAAAATATTTTTCGGAATTATGCAAACATTAGATGTTTTAATGATATGTTGTACGTGTAAGTAATAAGAAGAGGGTGTAAAGTATGTGTTTGATTTATAAAACCTGTAGATTTCGCTTTCAGAGCGTCACAATCAGCGATCTTATGATTCGTGAGCGTTCACTCAGAGTGAGCGCTCACGAGTCGTAAAATCGCTTATTGTGACGCATTGAAAGCAATATTAACAGATTTAATGTGTAAAACATATACTTCATGACCTCTTCTTGTAACTTACAAGTACTAATTAGCATTATACTATTTCATGATTTCATAATTCCGAAAACCATTTTTTTTTAGCAAGTGAGTGGAAGTAACCCTGCATGTTTTAAAGATGATATAAAGGACAATCCCGAATTTATTGCAACGTACATAAACAGCTATAACTTTTTAACCACGGTAAAAAAAAAATGACTTGAAATTTTCAGAGAAGATTCTTAGATGAATTTTTAGTAATACCCACTTTTCAATTAGGGAATCCAAAAGCTATCTTCAAACTTTGTACAGTTGCGAAAAAGTTCATCCTCAAAATTCCTTGAGGTTCTTTACGAAATTTTTAGAACTTAATGAGCTCTTTTGAAATTTTTCTCTGAAGTCCTCTGGAATTATTTTTAGAACTCTTCTTGACTTTTACTCAGAACACCTTGGAACTGAAATTCCCTTAAAGTTTCAGAAGAATTTCTTCAGTATTATCCAGATATTATTCCCAGAATGAGCTAGAAATTAACGGTACTTCCTTGAAATTTTCCTCAAATTTTCCATTATCTCAAAATCTAATTTTCTCGGTATTTTTTTTGGGAATTATCTTGTTACTAGAAATTATTCTCAGAATTTCCTTGAAATACTCTCCAGAAATCCTTTGGAACTGTCCTCAGAATTCAATATCCTTGAGGTTCTTCTCGGATTTTTCTAGAACTCTCCTAAGAGTTCTTTTGAAATTCTTCTCAAAAGTCCACTGGAATTATATTTAGAACTCTTCAAAAATTTTTCTCGAACACCTTGGATTTGAAATTCCTTTAGAGTTTCAGAAAATTTTACCGAAATGAGCTAGAAATTATCCTTGGAATTCGCTTGAAAATTTGCTTAAAATCTCTTTGGAATTTCACTCAAAATTTGATTTTCTCTGTATCGAAATTATCTTGGAATTGTCTGCAGGATGCACTAGAAATTACTCGCAGAATTTTCCTTGAATTCCCAGAAATATTTTGGAACTGTCTTAAAAATTAAATATCCTTGAGGTTCATCTAGGAATATTATAGAACTTTTTTTTTTGTCAGAACACCTTGGAACTGAAATTCCCCTAAAGTTTCAGAAGAATTTCCTCTGTTTTCTCCAGAAATTCTTCCCAAAATGAGCTTGAAAGTTTCCTCGGAATTTCCTTGAAATTTTCCCCAACATCCCTTTGGAATTTCATTCAAATTTTGATTCTCTCGGTATTCTTTTCGCAATTATCTTGGAACAATCTGCAGGATTCACTAGAAATCATTCGCAGAATGAAGAAGTTTAAGTTGTCCGTCCATTCACTAAAACGTTGTTGTTTTTCTACCAGAAATGTTCAATAAAGCTTGCCCCTCCAATCACCAGAACTGTGCAATTTTTACACCAGGAATTTTCAATTCAGCTTGCCCCTCCATGCAGCAGATTGTTGCAAATTTTCAATACAAACTTGCCCTCAGAAAATTTAACAACAGAAAATTTCAATTTCAATTCTATCTATATATATAAAAATGAATTTCTGTCTGTCTGTCTGTCTGTCTGATTCTTATAGACTCGGAAACTACTGAACCGATCGGCGTGAAAATTTGAATGCAGCGGTTTATGGGGGAGGGAAAGGTTTTAATGATGGTTTGAGACCCCTCCCCCCTCTGTAAAGGGGTCTCTCATACAAATGAAACTTAAATTTCTCCATAACTCGAGAACTAATCAAGCAAATGGAACCATATTTGGTATGTCGAGGTCATAGGGGGTAGCCCCTTAAATAAGAGAGGGGGGGGAGGCTACGTACAATATAGCATGCTTTTTTTATTGGCGCATAGACTCAAGCTAATATTGAATCCCAAGCAAGGCCGGGCACACTCAGCTAGTGTTCAATAAATATTGCTTCTCCAATCTTCTGATTGGTGCAGATTTCCTTTTTTTCATTTTCCACCAAAAATTTTCAATATAGGAGAAATGTATGTAATTTCGGCCTAAGTGTCCCTAATTTGAGCCCATACATAAATTCAGCAATCGACTAAATTTTCAATAGCAACCCTAAATATCCATTCGTACCGTCCCTATAACGCGTTCATCTAGATAAAATTGATCAATAGCAGATTTTTAGCGATGGGCTCAATGTTAGATCCATAGGCCAACATTAGAGCCGTTTCCCCTAGCTTGCTTCTCCTATCATCAGAATGTTGCA